GTAATTCAAAAATTGAGACAAAATGGAGGTGTTCCATTTTAAAAAAATGACGGTGACGTTATTACTCGAAAGTAATTCACCCTGTATATTAGAATATTATTTTAAAATACGGTAAATTAAAATCAAAAATCGACGTGTTTCAGGATTATTTCTTAAAATGCTCTGTTTATCTAAAAATGAATTTGTTAAATACTTTACGGACACAGTGTATAATTATTGCCTCTCTTAGTAAAACCACCAATAAAAGGTATGATCAAAGGACCAGAATCTTCCATTATAAGTAATGACGAACGGGATGGTTTCGTTGGCTTAAAACTTGCAGCACGTGTGGCATCGGCGGCTGAAGTAGATAGACTTGCTTTCATAGATGTAGGCGGCCCAGCCTCCTCCTTTTCCAATGATTCGACACATTCGTCAGATTCGATTTGCACCACCGTTGTCATTATTGATGGTGCAGCAGGTGCTTCTATGTCACTGATATTAAGCGACATGTTCACGTTTTAAATGTTCACCTGCTTGCATTTCACAGATACACTCTGTTATCACGTCATCTGAAGCGATCTCATCCAGCTCGTAATCTGAATTGATGTATGGATCATCACTGCTATAATCACCTTCTGACAAATCTATTTCAACAGGGTCCATAAGTTCTTGGATTTCATCTTCGTTCATTACCGACAAATTAAACTTTTTCTTTCTCCATTTGTTATTGCCTACCATTTCCAGAAGCAAAATATACAAGTAAGTGATGAATCGTTGAAAAACAATAGCACAACAACAAAACACAACAATTACAACATAGTGAGATGAAACTTCACATAAACCGGCAAGGAGTCCCTAAGGAATCCTTTTTATTTTTGCTTCTAAAGCACACTCAGAATACTTGTTTTGTAATAATTCCAATTGATAGTGAAACTTGAAGCTCCAAACCACTCTTGTTTTCACTACATTCAGATTATTTGCAGTATCATGATTTTTCTTCGAAAAAAATTTTAAATGAGAGTGTTTTGTGTTTACGTCGATCGTCGATATGTCGCATAAAACTGACACAAAAATATAACGATAAGGTTTAATAAATTCAGAATGTATTTAAAACGTCTCTAGACGAACTAGTGGGGGCGATTCAAAACAGTCTGCGCCGACCTGACTTGTACCTGCGGATTAAATAAATAATAAGCGAAGGGGCCCTTAGGAACATATTACCAGTTAGAGGATTAAATGGCTGTCAATTGTTATATATATATATATATATATATATATATATATATATATATATATATATATATATATATATATTTTGAACATCACGTCATCAGAATTGACATAATGATGTAATCGACGATTTTTTTAAATACAAACCGAGGTCAATGGATACATCATTTGAAGTATCCCCTGAGGTGTCCGTTTTTGCAACGATATATTGTTCGAAGATTTTATTCTACAGAGTTAAACAAAATTATGTACTTAGTTAAGTGAAATAAAAAAAAATACACGAAATGACCGTCATATACAGTAAAAAAGTTTTGTTTTTTGCTGGTTGCGAAAAAAAAATACATTGATGGATAACAATGCTACATTCTAATCTAAAATTAATTGTTGTAGTATCAATCAAGTATTTAAAATAATTTTTAGCTAATAGACGTAAAATTTTTACCGTTCGAATTTTTTGGCCAGATTAATAACAGCATTATAAAAATGAAACTTGCAGAAACAGAACGAATCGAGATTTTACTAATGTTTAGTTAGAGTAAGCGGGAATTAGTAATTTATTTAACGCTAAATACCCCCATCAAGATCCGATTTTCAAGCAACAATTAGCAAAATTAAAATTAAATTTCGAGAATCAGGTCATGTAATAAATCTTCTCAGAAGTGGTAGAAATGACAATACAAAGCCAAAAAACTGGACGTTTTAAAAAATCTCCATATCATTTCAAAGCTGGTCGTAGTAGATAATAATGTATGTCCACCATACAATTATTTTTCCTCCTCATTTATACTTCGTAAGGATGTGGTCACGTTATGGTATTTGACGAATGGTTGCTATCCATTCTTCTCTCTCTCATGGGCGCGGTGTGCTGCCTCAGATAGAGACTAACCGGTGGCGCACTTTATTTGGTCTGAGTTCTTTTACCATTCACCTTGCCTTCAACCACTAACCTTTCCATGCCTTTCATTCGTCAGGTAATGTGTCCAAAGTACCTCAATATATTTTGGTTGATGATTGTGGTAAGCCTAGTATTGATGTCGAGTTCTGTCAATATTAAGACATTTGTGCGATGTGCTGTTCAGGGTATGCGCATCATTCTACGATATACCTACATTTTAAAAGCCATTATACGTCGTGAGTCGGACTTTTTAATGATCCAAGTTTCTGAAGCATAGGTAGCGATAGGAAAAATAATCGTCCGTACCAGGCGCAGTTTCGTGTTCCTGGTTATGCCCGTATTTTCCAGATTGTAGTAAGTTTGGCCGTTGCTGATCTGGCCATTGAAAGGCGTCGATGTATATTTTCTTCGCATCCACCATTGTTTGTAATAACAGAACCTAAATAATTGAAACGGCTTTCCACTTCAAACCCCGTTACGTGTCGTATTTCCGGCTGGTTATTTCTAATTCGATCGATTATCATTACCTTATTTAAGGTATTCAAGGTCATTTGTTGATGATGCTAGTACTAAAGTGTCGTCAGCATAGCGGTGATTGCTGATTTTTCGGCCTCCGACTGATATTCCCCTTTGCTATTCGTCGAATACAATGCGCATGATGCATTCGCTATATATGTATTGAATAACGTGGGAGAGATCATACACCCTTGACGAACACCGGCTTTTAGTTTAAAATTATCGGAGTATATGTTGTTGACTCTAACGTTTGCTGTGTTGTTGATATACAGTTGTTTCAGTAGGTATATTAGATGTTTGGGGGTACCCATTTTTCTCAGTGTTCCCCACATTTTATGCCACTTTACATTATCGAACGCTTTCGAGTAATCGACGAAGCACAAATATGTTTTTAGAATAAATTCTCTAGATTTTTCTCTAATTTGTCTGAGATTAAAAATTTGTTCTCGTGTGCCTCTTCCAGGCACACGAGGAAACATTGTTCTTGTGGGATCTGGTAGAAGTATTGATTTTAATCTCTCCTTAATTATAGTTAGCATAACTTTGCTTACGTAGGAGATCAGAGCTATAGTGCGGTAGTTATTACAGTCAGTTGGTGAGCCTTGCTTATAAATGGATATGAAAGTGAGCTTACGCCGTTCATCTGGCCATTGTCCTGTGTTCCAGATTTCATTACACAGTTTGAACATTACTTAAACTCCTATGTTCCATTTTTTTAAGTGCTTCCGTCGTGATTCCGTCTTCTCCATGAGATTTTTCAGTTTTTAATTTGTTTATTGCGGTTTCTATTTCTGATTTTAAAATATGTGGTTTCTTCTCGTTATTTATTTCTTCTTGATTTACGTCTTCATGATTACTATGAAACAACATTTCAAAATATTGTTTCCATGTCGCTGCTATGCCCTTTGGATTGGTGATGGTCGTTCCCAAGTTGTCTTTAATTATCTGCGTTTGTAGTTTTTTTAGAGTTTTTTAATTTTTAGAGTTCTAAAAAAAGAGAATTGGCAACGTAGAAAAAATCATCTAGTCTAGAAGCTGTTAGTAGATGACTTTGATAAAGTAATCGAATTCTACGAAAACATCATGAAACAATGTAACCAGAGATCAAAGTTTTATAAAACAGGTACTTTTTTAGACGGTACATATCAAAAATTGGGTAAGTAAGTGAAAATCCACATTGGATGGAAAAATGACACAGTATCCCGAGAAAATGAACGTTTGAAATGAAAATTAACCCTATAATCATATTATAGGGCCTTATTTTTTTAGAACAGCTTAACTATTCCTCCTTATCTGGAATTTCTTTAGAATTATCTTATGTCTCAGCTTAATCAGAAATTTCCAAATAGAAATTATGTGTGGTTTCAACAAAATGGAGCTCCCCACATTACGGTGTTCAGGTACGAAATTACTTAAATAACGTTTTTCCATGAAGGTTGATATACAAAAGATGATCTACTGAATAGCCAACAAAGTCTTCAGATTTTACTCTGTTCGACTTTTTTAGGTATATTTGAAGAGCAAAGCGTATCAAAGTCTGCAAAAACCGCATCAGAACAGAAATTCTACTAATAACTCCTGAAGTCATCGAAAACATTAGGACAAAATTTACTCTTTCTCATATTATACTAAACATTAATTTTATTGAGTTAATTGTAGGATCATTTTGAAATTAGGTGTCCCATGACTTTGGTTTGTATTTAGAAAAAATCATGATAAAGATAAAGAGGAAACACATAAATGATGAAAAATAAAAACATTGCACACAATATACATAAATATCAGATGATATGTGGTCCAATCCAAAAAAAAATTCACAATAAAACAAAAAAAGCAACAAAAATTAAATTTTGTAAGATAAGTAAAGCTTGGGCGATACAAATAAGCCAAAGAATACAGTCAGACGAAATTAATTTTTTTAAGCAAAACAGTAGGATGTAGAGAAACATTGAGAAGCCAAATCAGAAATAAAGGTATACGGGTCGAATTAAATCCATTCTCGATGAATAATAAAATACAATTAAACACGTTAAAATGAAGGAAATATTAGAGCAAGACTGAATTAATATAGATACGTTAGACAGGTTGTAACATATAACCTCCTCGAAAGAAATGACTGCCCGGAAAAAGACGGAAATATTGAGGATGGAACAGACTAAAAGCCTAATTTTTTTACGTGAAGAAAAACAAAATAAAACACATGGAGATCTTTTAGGAGATATTACAACTTTCTCTGTCCACGAAGACTAGTGCCAATGGTGAAATATGTTTTATTTATTTAGTTCTTTAATCTTTAATTACTTTATATTTTCTTAAAAGTATTAATGAAAGCTTTATTTATGCTTAATTTAAAAGCAGTAATTTTTTTATCTTTCAGGACTTCCAATGGTGTTTGTGCTGGTTTGGGCTGCTGTCAAATCTTTTGTACCTTTTGATCCAGACAACACAAATAACGTAAGTAAATGATTTGCTTTATTTTTTTTTTTTAAGTTTATCGAGTCTATTTAAAAAATATATCGAGTTAAATGTGCTGCACTGGTTTGGGATAAAGTATATTTATATATACAATATATATATATATATATATATATATATATATATATATATATATATATATATATATATATATATATAAGAGTAAGAAAAAAGAAGTACTTGTGACTCGTTTGGAAAAAATATAAAACTGTTTTGGATGGGTTGGAGTCAATAAAAGGGCTATTTGTTGACTATTTTTTACTCGAGCTTTCAATTGTGATTACAATTATTATCAAGAGCTTCTAAAAAATACAAAATATCTTACAAAGTTGAACTAGAAATAAAAATTTTTTTGTTAACTCACCAAATAAAATTAGTTTGTTATATAAAACTGCTGCTTACACAATAATTACAAAAAATATTAATAAAAAAATGTCTTATTCTAATAAATGTTTCTCTGAAAAATTTTGATAGTTTCTTAACAAAAACAATTGAATTTGTAAACAAAAATTGAATAGCTACAAACCAGCCTAAATTTCCAAAAAAGTTCTTTTAAATTTATTACTTTCACTACATAAAATTTTAATATTATCAAAATCCATAATATGGTCTCTGTCTATTACATGCTCTGCCAAAGCACAAGATGGTTTCTTAATTCTGCAATCACTCTTGTGAGAAATAATGCGATTTGAGAGATTTCTTCCAGTCTCACCAATATACTCAGCTTCACACTGAGTACAAACAATGCTGTATACTACATTTGTTTGATCTAATTTGTCTATAGGATATTTAGTTTTGGAATATAAAGATGAAATGGTTTTGATGTTCTTTGTTGCTATTTTTATATTGTCAATAACCTTTAGTGTTTGTATTAATTTAGGAGTTAATGATGGTATAAAAGGTAGTGAATGATAATATATGTTTTGATTGTTGGATACAGTGTTTTGAGATTTAGCAAAAAAAGTTATTTATATTTAATAAATTAGAAAAAAGCATCCTATGTAGCATATCTGGAGGATAAGAGTTTTTAATTAAAATATTTTTTAACAAATGAAGATCTTCTTGTAGATAGTCTGGATGAGAAAGTTTTAAAATGAACCTTATAACAGGATTAAAGGAACCTTCCTAGAAGAAACTTACCAAGTAAAAAAACATTTAGAGCCATTGAAGGACGTTGTTCAGAAACTGGGAATGTAAGACCAAATAAAATAAATTCTGGTAGACTAAGAACAACAAGAACAATTAATAAAGAAAATAATATTTTAAATTTACTTGATCAAGATCCAACAGTTAGCGTAAGGAATATAGCAGGACAAACAAATACTTCTTCTTCCAGTACTTGGCGGATAGTGAAAGAACAGCAATTAAATCCTTATCATTACAGACAAGTCCAAGAGCTCTTGCCAGATGATCTACCGGTTAGAGTGGATTTTTGTGAAACATTGCAACAAAGGACAGCCTACAATCCAAATTTTTTCAAATGCATTCTTTTTACGGACGAAGCCACCTTCACGCGACAAGGTATGTTTAACTCCCATATTGCACACTACTGGTGTGATGAGAATCCACGAGTCAAAAGGGTATCACATTACCAACATTTATTTAAAGTTAATTATAAAATTAATAGGTTATCATATTCTATCTGGAAATTTAAATGGTGATATGTATCTTGATTTTTTTAAACAATTCCTTATTCGAGATATTAGAAGATTTATCGCTAAATGAGCGAAGATCTTTATTTTTTATGCACGATGAAGCTCCACCACACTTCGATAGAAGGTGTCGTAATTGGTTGAGTAATCATTTTCCGAATCAATGGATCGGTAGAGATGCAGAAGCTCCGATTTATTGGCCTCCTCGTTCATGCGATTTTAATCCTTTGGACTACCCAGTTTGGTCGTATATTAAGGAAAAAGTCTATGCTACAGAGGTATATTCACGCCAAGAATTGGAAGTAAGAATTCAACGTCAATTTAATGACATCATAGCTGATCCCCTACCGTTTAGAAGGTTAATGGAATCTTTAGAAAAAAGAATAGATTTGTGTATTCGCGAAAACGGAGGGCATTTTGAACACTTACTGTAATTGAATTTTATTTTATGTTCTTAGTCATTAATTTAATTTTCTTCTTTTTTTCTTCAACGCCCTGTATCTTGCACACGGATGGCGTTACAAAAATTTTTTACTAAGCAAACCGCAATTATTTTTCAGTTTTTTACCTACCCTAGAGACGGGGTTACCTTTTTTTGAAACACCCTGTATATATATATATATATATATATATATATATATATATATATATATATATATATATATATATATATATATATATATATATTATAGGTCTTTTGATCTTCGCTTCGCCTACCTCTTAGTTGCCATTCAAGAATTTGTCTTGGTATTCTATTCTCCGGCATTCTCCTTACTTGTCCGTACCGTCTGAGTTGTGTCAATTTTATGTCATCAACAATATTATATGTAATTCCCATGATTTGTTGGTCTCTCTCGTTTGATCTACTGTCGCGTCAAGAGATTCCCGCCGAGCGGCGCCAGAAGTATATTTCTGTTGCTCTAAGCATTTTCTCTGTTCTGCTGTTTAGGGGTCACACTCACATCAATATGTTGTGATACTTTTTATTATGGTGTTTTATATTCTTCTTTTATTTATCTTGGAGATGTTTTTATCCCAGAGTACCCTGTTCAGTAAGGTTATACTTTTCCTTCCCTATGTATTTCGTTCCTTAATGGCTGCATATAATTTTACGTCCTAACTGATCTTTACTCCTAGGTATTTTTTAGATCCTTTATAATTTCCACTCCACTCTACTCCTAGATCTAGATCTTCTACTCCTAAATCTTTAATTCTTGTTTGTTGGTAGTACAACGTTTTTACCGCTTGAATCAGTTCTATATTTATATTTGTTTTCCCCAGTGCCTCCCCTAATTCATCAAGCGGGACGCTATCATATGCTTTTCTAAGATCTACGAACGTCAGGTGGACTTCTTCTCCACGAGCAACTTTCTTTTCAATTATCTGAGTAATAGAGGAGACATGGTCTATTGTAGATCAACCTGCACGAAAACCAGCCTATTCTTCGACTTCCATATCTTGGTATTCTTCTTCTATTCGATTTTTTATTATTTTCTCATAATATATTCTGCTAATAATACTAGTAACTGCAATTCCTCTATAGTTTTCAGGTTTCGATTTATCTCCCTTTTTATGGATGGTGCTCATATGCGATTCTTTCCATTGCTTAGCTATTTCATGTTTATTTATGCATTCCTGGATAGGTTTTCGTAGCCGTTGAATTAGTATTTTGGATCCATGTTCTGATTGGTGATCTTATAAGCCTGACGCCTTGAAGACCATAGTTCTCTAGCTGTTTGAAGGGCTCTGTTTTCTCTGTTATTCTTCTTTCCGACTCTGCTGTTGAGGTCCTCGAAGATTATTATTTCTCTTGTGTTACCCACCTTTGTGATTTCTTCATTCAGTTGTTTGACAACTGACTGTCATCGACATAAAATAGGTTTTAGAATCTCTAGTTTTCTATTGTGAAGAACGTCAGTAGATGCGTATTTTTAGTATTTCACTTTATATATAGGTTCTCTTTTTCACTCCATTTCTTATATTTTACTATGTATCGTATTCTTTTACTTATATATACTATGTTGTGTATCACTTGTATTCTCTTATTGGTGGTGTTACATATGTCTTCCCATGCAAGAAATGCATATTTTAGTATCGGTAGAATTGTACCATTTATTAACCTTATTTTTGTTTTAATTTTCAATTAACTTTCTCTTGGCGCTTGAAATCTTCCTCTCATATTGGAGGGATGATTTTGTTTGAGTCCTAGGCATTTCTCTTTGTTCTTCGACTTGTTCTATGAATTCAATGTCTTTATCTGGATGGTAATTTAATCTGATTTAATTTGAGAGTAGTCTTCGTTATAACTGCTGTTTCTTTAATGGGGTATACTATTCTCCGAATTTACATATGCTAAAAAATGAAAACAAGGAGAAACAGTTCCAGTCACATATAGAAGAAACCCTAGAACACACCTGGGCAGTCGACCAGTCAAGCACGGAAATGTGGAACAACTGCAAGGAGGCTATGAAATTAGCAGCCGAAAGCACTTTGGGAATATCCCGAACCCAAGAAAGAAACGACTGGTTCGCCCAAGACTGCAAAAAAATAACAGATGAGAAGAACGAGGCATTTAGGACCATGCAACATCGAAAAACTAGAACAACAATAGATAGATACAAAAATTTAAGGAGAGAGGAAAAACGCATACACCGAAAAAAGAAACGAGACTCGGAAAATGACATGTTAGAACGGCTCGAAAGCCATATGAGTCACGGAGAAACAAGAAAATTCTACCGTCAAATAAATAGTATTAGAAAAGAATTCAAACCAAGAATCAACTATTGTAATGATAAGGAAGGCAACTTACTTACCAACAAAGAGGACATCCTTTTACGATGGGTAGAACACTTTCGATAGTTGCTGGAAGGGGAACCTACTAACAATATAGAGCTGGAATACCGAAATGAGGAACTCGTGGAACCCCCCTCGATAGATGAAGTAAAAATATCTATAGAAAAACTAAGGAACCATAGGTCCCCAGGTAGCGATGGCATCCCAGCAGAGTTATTTAAGCACGGTGGAGAGCAGCTCACCAAGGTGATGCGAGAAATTGTTTGTAGAATTTGGTCTGAGGAGCAAATGCCAGAAGAATGGAGCTTAGGCTTGATTTGCCCGTTACACAAAAAGGGAAACCAACTGGAATGCAATAATTACCGCGGAATAACTCTCCTAAATACAGCATGCAAGATATTATCAAATATTTTGCACGAGAGATTAAAGCCTTATACTGAAATGTTTCTAGGGGAATATCAGGCAGGATTCAGGCCTGGACGTTCAACCATTAACCAGATCTTTACACTACGACAGATCCTCGAAAAAGCGCAA